GCTGTTTTTTTTTTCTTTCTTTAAAGCCCTACATAGAGGTTCATTATTAAGGAGCTACATAAAATAATTTGTGTAGTTTTCTAAAATGTGATTTTACATACACACTGCAAAATAGCAGGATTTCTAGTACATTAACTGAAGCACATCTGTATCAGTGACCCTAAGCTAAATTTGAAATCTTTAGCTACCATATTGATATTCCTATAGGTATGAGGTTTGACCAAGTCACTCTGTTCAACAAGCTTCAGGGGCTCCCGATTCTTCTAGGATAAAATGTAGATTCTTCTTTCTGACATTTGAAAGCCCTTTAAAGTAGGGGCTCTTAACCTGGAGGCCTTGGACAGATTTCAGGGGATCCATGAACTTGGGTGGGAAAAATGCATCTTTATTTTCACTAACCTTTCACTGAAATTCTTCTTCTGAGAAGGGGCCCATCTAGCAATTTCACCAGACTGCCAAAGGGATCTACGACATGAAAAAAGGTTAAGAATTCTGGCTTTAAGGGCTAACTCCAGTCTATCTTTCCAGACTTTTCACATTATTTTTCTTCAAACATACTGTATTTCATCTATAGACTTAGAGTTGGAAGGGACCCACTGAGGACACTTGGATTTTACAGATGAGGAAACTGAGGCCCAAACAGTTGTTTCATAAAGGAGGGAGGCAGCATCACAGAGGGTTGGTTCAGATCCCTCCTCTGACACTTATTCCATGTGTGACCTTTGGTTTTAACTTCCCTGGGCCTCATTTTCTTCCTTAGTCATTCAGTAAATGTTTATTACCTATTATATGCCAGGTGTGGGCATATGACTAGATGGCACAGTAGATAGAATGCCAGGCCTGAACTGAGGAAGACTAATCTTCCTGAGTTCAAATCTGGCCTCATATACTTACTAGCTGGGTGACCCTGGGCAAGTCACTTTACCCTGTTTGCCTCAGTTTCCTCATCTGTAAAGTGAGCTGGAGAAAGAAATGGCAAACCACTCCAACATCTTTGTCAGGAAAACCCCAAATGGGGTCACAAAGAGTCAGACGTGACTAAAAATGACTGAACAACAACAACATATGCCAGGCACTCTGCTAAGTCTCAGTGTACAAAAAGAGGCAAAAGGTAGTCCCTGCCCTCAAGGAATTAATACTCAAAAGAGAGAAACAAGTAATAAATATGTACAAACAAGCTATATACAGGATTGAAAAAAGAAAATAATTAACCAAGGGAATGCATTCAGATTAAGAGGGATTGAAAAAGGATTCCTGTAGAAGCTGGGATTTTAGTTGGGACTTGAAGGAAGCCCGGAGACAGATGAGGAGGGAGAGCATTCCAGGCATAGGGACAGCCAGAGAAAATGCCTGGAGCTGAGAGATGGAGGGTCTTATTCTTGGGACAACCAATGACCCAGTGGCACTGCATTAAAGAGTACCGTGGTGGGGGAAGTGAGGTCTGAGAAGCTTGAAGAGGTAGGAAGGAGCTAGGTTATAAAGGCCTTTGAATGCTAAACAGAGGGTTTTGTGTTTCATCCTGGAAGTGATAGGAACCATTAGAGTTTATTGAGTATAAGGGTGATAGTCAGATTTGTGCTTTAGGAAAATTACTTTGGTGGCAGAAAGGAAGATGAATTGAACTGGGGAGAGACTTAAGGCAGATAGACCCACCAGCAGGCTGTCACAGTAATCTAGGTATGGGGTGATAAGGGCCTGCACCAATGGTGGTAGTGTCAGAGGAAAGAAGGGGGCGTGTTCTAGAGATCGAAGATGAGGGGGTTGTACTAGATGGTTTCTACAGTGCCTTCCTACTCAACCTTTGTGATTCCATAACTCTTTCTCTCTTGTTCTTTCCTCTTTATACTTTGTCTCTTCTCACTTAATAGGTGTGTTGGTCAAAAAAAGGTGGGGGGATGATAAGGCACTAATAAACCTCTGTACCACTCCTACAATTAATATTAATTATCACTAGGTGAACAATAGTACAAGGTACCCACTATAATCTGATTGTGTAAGCCAAACAGATTTACATTATATATGCCCAACCAAGAGACCTGCCCCCTTCTCCATAGTTTCAGTTGATGATTCATTCCCAGAGGGATCTTCTTCTCCCTTCCTCTCCTCTTCAGGAAGTGGCCATCCGTTTTCCTCTCCTACTTCTCCCCTCTTCCTTTCTCCTCTCCCTTTTCACACACATACACATGTAGTTGGAAAAAGTACTAAATTTGGAGCCAGAGTGCCTGCATTCAAAGCTTTGCTCTGCTGCTTGCCACCTTTATGACCTTTGGACAGGTCATTCAAACTGTCTTCAGCCCTCAGTTTTGTATAAATAAACTAGAGAGTGGGAATAGATTATTTCTAAGGTTCTTGAAGTTTTCAGTCTTAATTTGGTATTTTATCCTAGAGATAATCGGGAACCACTGAAAATTTATGAGTAGGGGAGGAACACAGTCATCCCCATTGTCTTAGGAGGATTATTTTGTCAGCTCTGTGTTGGATGAATTAGAAAGGGGAAAAATTGAAGCAAGGGAAGCTAATTAGGAGACTATTATAGTAAGCCAGATGGGAAGCAGTGAGAACCTGAACCTAAGGCAATGGTCTTAAGTGGAAAGAGAAAGATGAACAAGAGATATGCGGAGGTAGAATCAACAAGAATTAGCGATTCATTGGATATATAGTATGGAGTAGAGTAGGCCAAAGGTGTCTGAGGTTGCAAACCTACGTGGTGGTTTCTCTAGTAGAAACAGGGAAGTTTGGAGGAGGAGCAGTTTTAGGAGGAAAGATAATGAGTTCCATTTTGGATATGTTGGTGTGATTAAAAAAAAGAATGTAGAATCTTAATATTTTCATTTTAAAGGACAAGCTATGAAAAATATCTCTAGGAATCTCAGAATAGCTTGTATTGGTAAACTCCAGAGTCATTTTTCAAAGGACTTTCCTTTTACTCTTTGATGTCACTAGTTTTCACCAGGAACCCAAGATAATTTTCATTTCTCTCCTACTTACTGGATCAGGAAGACCTCCTTCTTTAATAAAATAGTTAATATTTAAAAAGTCTTACTAGGGAAATAAGTTCAGAGAAAAGGACAAGTTTCTTAAATATACAAAACTGCACTGGTCTGACCCTGTCTAGGCCCAATCTCAAAATACCTCTTATTGACCTTGACCTGCTTGTATTTCCCAGTCCGTGGTCTCACCTTGCTTTTTCTCTCCTCCCTTAGATGAAACAAAGCCTCTTCACCACTAACTTAATGTGGCAGCATAACCAAAGTCCATTCTACATGATGCCTGATGGCATTTCTGTTTTAAGTTTCCCCTTCACCTCTGTACAAAGGGGTAACATTAATATGCACACCTCATAGTGTTATTTTGAGACTGAAATGGTATCTTGGGGGTACACAGAGCACACCTAGTTCACTGTGCACACCTATGAATGAGAGCATGTAAAGTGCTTTGCAGTTTTAAATGTTTTTGTAAGTGTTGTGTGGTTGGAGTGGTGGTTGGTTCAGTGCTTTTCTTTAGATTGCTTGATCTTTTGATTTCATAACTCATAGCTTTTGATTTCATAACATAATTCCATTGCTCCCAAGTCCCAGGTTCTACTTCTGGAGTAACTTCTGAGCCTATTTACATAGCTGGAATAAATGATGATCCATCCTTCACCATCTGTTAACATTTTCTATCTTTCTGTGTCCTAAAGCCCACATCTCTCTATGTTCTCAGGTAGAACCACTGTACTCTAGTCTCATCAGACATATCTGGAGTATTGTGATCAGTTCTGGATACCACATTTTAAGAGGAACATTGGGAGCAGCAAGGTGGTGCAGTGGATAGAGCACCAACCCTGAAGTCAGGAGGATATTCAGAAGAAGGCAACCAGTGTGGTGAAAGAGCATTGAGGATGTTATAGATGTTGAAAGAGCTAGATTTGCTTAGCCTGAGGAAGAGGGGACTCAGTGAAAGCATGACAGCTGTCTTCAAGTATTTGAAGGGCGACCATGGGGAAGAGGGATAGATTTATTCTTAGTATTTGGCCTCTAGGGGCTGTAGCAGGAGCAATGGAAGTTTCAGAAACATCAATATCAGAATGAACTTGAAAATAATTAGAGCTATCCAAAAGTAAAATGGGCTACCTGAAACAGAATAGGTTTCTGCTTCTTGGAGTTCTTCAAGCAGAGACTGAATGACCACTTGTTGGGTCTTGTATAATAGGGATTCCTTTTGGGTAGGGGTTGTACTCAATAGCCACACTGGTCCTTTTCAATCCTCATATTCTGTGAGTTTTTTGTTGACTCATTCCAAGTTGTTCTTTGTCTTCTCTATTCCCTCCCCCTCAAAAAAGGATGTAGCCCTCCTCTTTTTTTGTAGCAGTAGTTTAAATATGTATTGACAAATGGTTATTTCTACAGAAGGGATATTTCAGTAAAAGGAAACTCAATGAAGGACTTCTTTAGTCAAGTTGGAAAATGTTAGGCTGGAAGAAGGGCTTTGAGGACCCTTGCTATAAGAGGACTATGACCTCTAGATTGTAGTCAACCACTTGGGATCTTTCCTGGAGTTAGGGGGTCTTGGATTTGGAAGTATTAAGAAGGCCATTGGTGATTGACTTTAGCTGAATGTGATTTGTATGCAGAATGGCTTCATTGTAAAGTTTATTTGTGTTTTTGAACTGAAGGCCTGAGGGACCACAATAAGTATGGGAAGAGGAATACCATTGGATAAGAGACTGTGAGAACACAGGGCTTGGTATTTGGAAGACAAATTTCCCTTTTTGCCCTTACATGGTGACAGCAGAGTGTTAACCTGAAAATCGAGAAAGGAATGGTTTTGGCTAGGATAATTTTTGGTTTAGGATTGGGGAGAGGGGAAGGACATGTTATCCAGAACATATTTTATAATGAGGAGACTGCTATTAAATGAATTATTCAGTGTATTCTTATATATTTTTGTTAGAAACAAAAACAGTTATCCAGGTAAATAGAATACTAATCATTGCCCACTTTCCTCCAAAATTAAAGGAAAATATGCCGCAACTGCAAATGTGGTCAAGAGGAGCATGATGTTTTCATGAGCAATGAGGAAGATCGAAAAGTGGGAAAACTTTTTGAAGATACCAAATATACTACCTTGATTGCAAAGCTGAAAACAGATGGGATTCCCATGTATAAACGCAATGTTATGATCTTGACCAATCCTGTGCCTGCCAAGAAGAATGTCTCCATCAACACGGTTACCTATGAATGGGCTCCCCCTGTCCAGAATCAAGCATTGGTAAGTAAAAAAGAAAAAAAAGTGTATGTATGTACAAGAAAAAGTAAGAGAGAGAAGAGATCTCTATATATGGAGAGTGTAAAGGACCTTGTTCATAATGGGTTTTGTTTTTTTTTTAACAGGTTGGGGTTTTTCTTTTTTGATCTTTTTGACAAAGTTGTAAGGAAATTGATAACAATTACTGTTCTTATGTGCTTTTCACATTTTCGTTTATGTTATTAGTAGCCTAATATCCTCAGTTCTGTTAGTCTTATAAAATAAACACTTTTAGGGAATTCCATTGCTAGAACTCATAATTCTTTCTATCTGTTGCAACTATGCCATGTGTGAATATGTTAGGGAAAATTTCAAGGATTTCTGAGTCAGTGTTTTTAATTCCTTGAGGGTATATTCTCCCTTTATCAATAAGGAGAAAAGAGAATATACCTCATGCATACTCTATTATCAAGCTTGCAGATCTTGAAACTTTCCCATTTATTAAAAGGCCATAAAGGATGACTTCTGTAATTGTAAATGTCACTGATGCTGAGGAAAGCATTCAGCGGAGCCCGTCTATTACTGTATAAGGCCAAAAAAGTGAGTGTACTGTTCAGAGCGTACTCCAGTTTTCTTAGAACTACAGCCAAACTGGACATCTGAGAAGTCTTTTAGGAGAGTTTCTTTGCTGAGAAATTTAGAACAGAGTAAAGGCAGCCTTGTGTAGACATCATGAATTAATGTCATTTGTGTGAGGCAGTGAAAATAAAATGCAAGAAAAAACATTCATGCTTCACAGTTCTTTAATATTTGTGTAGCCTTATAATAACTGAATTTGTGAAGTGTTACATGGACTCATTATTTTAAAACTGATCAGAAAGTCAGAAAAAAATAGACTGAACTTTGATAAGAGGATCTATTTAGCTTAAAACTTTATAGAGTTCAGTCTATAATACTAATACTATTCTCATAGTTTTCTTTTTAAAAAAGTCCCAGGATTTATTTATATTGGGAACTTTTATTGTTCTTTTAGATAAAAACAAAAGCTTGCCTAAGTGAAATGGAAAACTTGGCTCTAATATTTTGCTTTAAAGTGTTGAATTCTCTCATGGCCCTGGTTCTTTATGTTTAACTCCAGGCTAGGCGATATATGCAGTTGCTTCCAAGGGACAAACAACCAGTGGCTGGCTCAGAAGGGGCCCAATATCGGAAGAAGCAATTAGCTAAGCAGCTTCCTGCTCATGATCAGGATCCTTCCAAGTGTCATGAGTTGACTCCCAATGAGGTGAAGCAGATGGAACAGTTTGTGAAGAAATACAAGAACGAGGCTCTGGGTGTTGGAGATGTCAAACTTCCCAGTGAGATGGAGATAAAAGCTTTTGATGGAAGTACACTTGATGGTGGGCACAGGGGCACTACGGCTGCAGTCGGAGCAATGGAGGATAAATCAGCAGATCAAAAAGAGGACTACGTAAGTTTCAAAGTGATAGATTTGTCCCTGTTATTCAGAGGCTGTGAGGCACATGTTTGTTTTAACTCAGTCTCCCCATGACCACTTATTTTTCTACTTCCTCATATTTTTCCAGGAGAACAGTAGGCAAGGGAAACCAAAAGAAACCAAAATTTAATTCAATCAACTAACTTAAGTGAGAAGTGACATTGAAGTTATTGTTTAATTTTGTTATTGTTTAAAGTTAGGTTTTCATCTCTGGGCTTCCCCGACTACACTAAAGAATTGAGAGGTTAATGGAAGGACAATAGTGAACCTAACCTCTTAGCTTTTTTTTCTAAATATTTTTAATTATAGAAAATAGAGATTATAATGGTATTCTAATAGATATTATAATGGTATTCCTCTACCACCAAAATGTCTATATGCCAGTTTGTCTGTTGGTTAAATTGCTTTCTTAACTGTGAAAGTTTGACAAAGATTTGAGCATTTCTGTTTATGCTGATATCAACTATCCATTAATAAATATTATGATTTTGTGCTATACCCACACATGCCACTAGAGGCAGTATGGTCTAGTGCCTATACAACGGAACTTGAAATCAGAAAGAAGGTAGTTCAAGTCCTGATTCAGATTTTAAAAGAAGCTGAGTTTGTTTGGGCTAGCCTAGAGAAGAAAAAGCTAAGACATGATACCACTTAATTCTTTCAGTGTTTTTGTTTTTGTTTTTGTTTTTGTTTTTGTTTTTGTTTTTTAAAGGAGGATCTTCTCTGATCAGTCTGTGTCTATGCCTACAGATGAATGAATAGGGAATGGGCTATGAGATAAGAGTAGTTGTAGCTACATCCAAGAAGATATTTAAAAAAAAATTGGAAACCATTGATACTGGCCTGTTTTTTAAATTTTTAATTGTTTACTTAATTGTTTCTTTTAAAAAAATGTTACTAGACCATTTGATGTCTTTTTAGGTCCCCTCCAAATCAGATCCTTTTTTGGGGTGGGGGGGCACGGGTAGAAGTGATGCAGGTGCATTAGAATTATGAGGCGGTGGTGTCAAACTGATGTAGAAATGGGGACCATTAATATCTGTCCATAAGGATCCCTACAGGCTGCCTTAGTTTTAAAATGTGGAATTATCTGTGTTTTACTGTATTTTTATTTATTTCTTTAACTCTTTCCCAATTATATTTTAATCTGGTTCTGCAGCACTCAGAAATGTTGTGGGCTGCATGTGGCCATGTGTTTGACACCTCTGATAGAGTGGATAGAGGGTCTGAGCCTAGCAATCAAGAAAATCGGAGTTTGAATCCTTCCCACCCACCCCCGCCTCACTTAACCTCTCTGGGTCTCTGTTTCCTCGCCTCTCAAATGAGGGTCTTGGACTTCATGACCTCTAAAGTCCCTTGGAGCTTTAAGTCGGTAATCCCAGGATAATTAGGATCTCTTCCTGCAACTTTATTCAATATAATAACTCAGTTGTTAAAAAATAACTATTAAGCATGATTTATTTCCTTTATCTGGAAAAACAAAGGATTGGGGTGTGGGGGGCAATTCCTGAATCATTGTTCATGTTTAGTTGAATTGACCTAAAAAATGAAATATGAAAAATAGTTTATGGTGAAATTCTCTTAACATACTCCTAATAATGTGGGGAACCTTGAAAATATCGACAAATCCTCCAGGAAACAGTGTTTTTTATTTTACTTCATAACAATGACCCCTTAATTTCATATAATTTTTCTTTAAAAGGGTTCAGAGTACTTTCAGAAATGCCATCTGATTTTTTTCCTCACACAATTGCAGTGACAGAGAGGGAAAGAAATGCCTTTGGATCTGGAAAAATAGAAACACATAGATAATAAATTATTTTTCCTAGGATTTCATAGAAAGACAGCAGAACTAGAAATATAATCCTAATCTTTAAACTTTGACTTCTTTCTATCTAGAAGATGTTGATTTGAGTCTATAATGACTTTTTAGTGTTAGTAACATAATTTTGGGCAGCTAGGCGGAGAGAGTGGTTAAAGCCCTGGTCTTGAAGTCAGGAAGATGTGAGTTCAAATTTGACCTCAGACTCTTACTACTTATATGATTGTGGGCAAAGCACTTAAGCTGTCTCTGTCTCAGTTTCCTCAACTGTAAAATGATGTGAGAATAAAATATTTGTGAGAGAATATTCATACAGGGCTTTACAAACCTTAAAACACTATGTGAAATGCTAGCTGTTGAGAAGTTTGTTTCATTCTTGTGGATAAAATTAAAATGGTACTTTTGATTGCCTACTGTCAGTAAATGTTTATTAAGCATCTTCTGTGTGCCAGGTACTACGCTAAGCCCTGAGTATACAAGAAAAATAAAATACAGTCCCTGTCCTTCAAGAGATTACCATCTAACAGAGGAGACAACTTGCAAACTCTATGTAAGAATATTGGAAGTAATCAGTAGGGGAAGGCACTAGAATTAAGAGCGATTGGAAAAGGCTTCTTGAGAAAGAGAGATTTTATCTGGGACTTGAGGAAGCCCAGAAATCCAGGACGCAGAATTGAAGAGGGAGAGGGTTCCATGTATGGGGAATAGGGGGAACAGTCAGTGAAAACGCCTGAGTCAGGAGATGGAGTGCCTTGTTTGAGGAACAGTAAAGAGGCAAATGTTACTGGCTCGCAGAATATGTGGTGGGGTGTAAGAAGACTTGGATGGGGGTGGGACACTATAAAGGGCTTTGAACAAGTACTTTAAGTTGGATGAAATTTATATACAATAGATTCTAAAGCAATACTGTTTTTATGATTAACATGAAATTATTTTATATTTAAGCTTTGTGTGATTGGTCAAACATTATATTAACTCAAACCTTAGGATCTGGAGGCCCAGGGTAGGACGGGAACGCCTGGGTGAGAGCAGAGACAGGAGAGCACACGCTGGTCCCTATGACTCTCTAAACAGTCTGTACTGTTTTCACAGAATATTAGAGCTTTAGAGAAATAACAGACCCAAGGGATCATTTATTCTGTGACTTGTTCACCTTCTTTTGTATCATCGATCCCTTTGGCACTTAGGTGAAGCCTATAGTCCCCTTCTCAGAAAAATGTTTTCAAATGCATAAGATACGATATGTAGGTATTCAGAGGAAGCAATAACATCAAAATATAGTTATCAATATTTTTTAAAAGTTCACAGACCCAAGTTTAATACCTAATTTAATCTAACCCATTAGTTTGACTGGTGAGAAAACTGGGGCTCAGAGAGTTTAAATGATTGGTTCAAAGTCATGCAGACAATTAGAAGAAGGACAGAACTTGACTTGGCTCTCTTGATTCCTAAGCCAAGGGTTTTACAGTTATTTAGTTACATAATTTTAGATTTTGATAGGCCTATAAAGATAAAATCCAGATAGCTTCCTCTTTTTATAAATGATAAAACCGAAGTTCGGAGTAGATAAATAGCTTCGAAGAAAGGAAATAAGCAATTATTAATCACCTACTGTATGATTAATACTATGTCACTTTATGACTCTTATTTAGTCCTCAAAACAATCCTGGAGGGAGATGATATTATTTTCCCTATTTTACTCTTGAGTAAACTGAGGCAGATAGAGGTTAAGTGACTGGCTCAGGGTCACACAACTAGTAAGTATCTGAGGCTGGATTTGAACTCTGTTCTTTCTGACTCTAGGCCCAGCATGCCACCAAACTGCTTTTAAATTAACTCCCAAAGTCATTCATACTGCTAATTTAGTGGCAGAATAAGAATAAAATTCCAATTTTCTCTTAAGGCCACAGTGCCTTGAGTGATGATTTGGAGTCACGAAGACCTGATTAACCTCTGCTTCAGATATTCAGCGGTGTGGTCTTGGGCAAATCACAAATTCTGAGTGCTTCAGTTTCCTCATCTGTAAAATGGCTTCTCACCCAGAGTTGTTTTAAGGATTAAATGAAATAGCATATGTAAAGCTCTTTGCAAACCTTAAAGTGCTACATAAATATTTGCTATTATTATTTTCACAGTAAATGTACCAAATATAGAAAAAGATATCAGAGAAATAAGGTGTATATTTTTAAACTCTACTAGTTAAAGTGCTGTCAATATACTGTACTGGGAATCAGGAATACTTAGGTTCAAATCTTGTATTAGATATTTATGATCTTTGTGATTCTAGGCAAGTAACTTAACTTTTCCGTGCCTCAGTTTCCTCATCTGTAAAATGAAGCTGATTGACTTCATGGCCTGGTATGCTGTCTTCAATTCTAAATCTATGTGATTCTGTATTCTAAGAGAAGCAACCTTCCTAGTATCATTTCATTACTCTTTCCCAATAAATTTCATGTATAAGATTTTATATAGGCATACAATGATTTTTATGTAATGGTGGTTTTGATGTAAATCATCATAGCAATGTTAAGAGTGAAACAGACTTCCAAATAGCTAGCGTTGATATAGTGCTTTAAGATTTTCAAAGAACTTTGCAAATATTCATTACTTTTGCCCCCACAACAGCTCATTTTACAGATGAGGAGACTGAGGCAGAACACTATAAATTTATGATCCTCTATCCTAAGAGAGGCCACATTCGTAATATTTATTTAATTCCCTTTTCCAGTAAATGCTACAGCATACCTGTACCATAAGATTATATGTACATAGATAGTGAGATGAACCAAGCAAACCAGTTGTTAAATATTCTATCAGCAGTGGGGAACCTGTGGCCTTAAGACCACATGTGGTCCTCTAGGTCCTCAAGCTCAGACTTTTGACAGAAACAAAACTTCAAGTTTAATCCAACCCATTAATTTTACTGGTGAAAATTCAGTCAAAGGACCACACTTGAGGACCTAGAGGGCCACGTGTGGCCTCAAGGCTGCAGGTTCCCCAGCCCTTTTCCAGAGTGTGCTTTTTTGTAGATTTCTTGCTTGCTTTTGCAGGTGACCAGAGTCATCTTCCCTGTCTTTCCTTTCACCATTAACTGTGCTGGTATTTAGTTTTACTGAGTACTTTTCTTTTCCTGTCTCCATTTGATTCCTGCTGCCTCTGCTAATTAAGCAACTCTTCATTTGATGCTTTTAATTTCTTATTGTTTTCTCTTTAGTGTGCCCAGCCTCGTCCTCAGTTACCAGCAGATTATGTAACAATTTGATCTTTTTTTTAAAAGTGAGACAAAAGAAAGATCTGACTCATCCACTGTACTTTTCAATGTGTAAAAACAGATATAAGTAATTAATAGGGAAATTGTGTATGAGTCAAATCTTTTTATAAGTTTATTTTATTTTCAAATGTATTAGGATGTGAATTCTCTAAAGAAATCCTAGATGAATGCTTTTCTATGATCAAGAACCCTTTTTATAAAATGAATAATTACCTCCTGATTACATGGAGCAGACCTGTGTGATGAAATTTCAACTACCAATGAAGAAAATCCCTCCATCCATGCAAATAGATTTCTAGTCTTAGAGAAGTTGCCTGAGACACAGATTAAGTGACCTGCATAAGGTCACACAGACAGCCGTATGTGTCCAGAGAAAGGTTTTTGGTCACACTCTTATTCCTAGGCTGCCCCTCTGTCCACTAGACCAGAGGTTCCCAAACTTATTTGGCCTACCACTTCCTTTAAAAAAAAAGTTACTCAGCACTCTTCTGAAAATCTATTTTCTTTAACCCTTTAATGTTTTTTTAAAAATTGCATCATTTCAAAAAAAGTATGTTTTTTTAAATGACGCATCTTAAATTTAATAATTTATTGTAAATTTGTGGGGTTTTTCCTGCATTGAAATTTTGATGACCCAATATTACATCACGTAACCATATAGTATCATATTGTAAACAAGTCATTACATGCACATATTCCTGCTGATGCATGCTGGACTTCTGACGATGCACTGCATGCTCACCTGCCAACACTTGCTTGTTAAGACCTGCCAGCAGACTTGACCACTGATCAGTTTTACCTTGCATTTTGTGTGTTTATTTGGAAAATAATGTAATCATTAACACTTTAACTCTGTTATACAACAGATGAAACATGTACAAATGGTTTTTCAAAATTTTCTTCTCTTGTCTTCTTTCCTTATGCTTCCACTGCCCCCTTATTTGTACCTGGGGCTACTACCACCTTCCTTGGATCATTCTAGCACCCACCCGGAGGTGGTATCGCCCACTTTGGGAATTTGTGCACTAGACCCATGCTGCCTCTCTTATTTGTGGGACAGATTCCCATTTATCATAGATCACTTTCTTAAAGCTAAACACAAAAGGGAGGGGAAGATCTCTACCTTATCTAAATCTCTTTTGTGTTATGGAACCCTTTGGCAGGCTGCTGAAGTCTATGGACTCCTCAGAATAATGTTTTAAAATGCATAGAATTATGAAGAAAATCATTTATATTAGAATATAGTTATGAAAATTAAAAAAAATACTTACCCCAGGTTAAGAACCTCTAATATAAACATAAATTGTTTTCTTTTTTCATTGCAAAGTGGTGATGTGGGATGTGAATGAGATGGGATTGTTTAATTTCACAAATTTAGTTAAATTACTTTTTTTTTTTTTAATCTTTCATGGGTGATTCACTGCTTCATATTAGCTTTGGTAGATCAGTATTTTTTGTAGATATATTAGTAGGAAGAAGTAATAGTCCAGTTGTTTGGACAGAGATGAAAAGAGCAAGACATGGAATATCGGGGATGTTACATGATTCTTTGTCTTCATTGTATCAAGTGACAGCAGCTCTGAATGTGTGAATGAATGAATGATGTGAATTCCTAGTGAAATCTGATGTGTGTATTAGGATTGTGAGTAGCATGATTTTCATTTTTCCACGTGGTGTCCATTTCAGTCCTGCTATTGCTGCAAGCAGAGCATGAAAGAAGGTGATCCCGCAGTTTATGCCGAGAGAGCTGGGTATGACAAATTCTGGCACCCTGCCTGTTTCGTTTGTAGCACCTGCAGTGAGCTTCTGGTAGACATGATCTATTTTTGGAAGAATGGGAAGCTGTATTGTGGCAGGCATTACTGTGACAGTGAGAAACCCCGGTGTGCTGGGTGTGATGAGGTAAGAGAGTCCTGGGACTGACCATGTGTGCGCGCGCGCGCGCGCGCACACACACACACACACTCATTATCTACTGTAGTACCAAGCTGTCCTCTTCAGTGATATAACCATAGAGAGAAGGCACTTAAAATCTGTGTTCAAGTTAAAATGTGCTTTATTTATCTATCAAAGAATTGGTACTTAATGACTTCTAATTCATTCTGAGCTCCCATGTCACATAGATGGGAGAACTTATGATGGATGTTTAATAGTTGAAAATACAAAGAAAACTGTGTTAATATGTATTGAGATGACTGGTCAGACCTTAGGTGTTCTTTTTCAAGCTATGAAACATAAGAAAAGGTAGCATGTTTGGAAATTGAGGGGCTAGGAGGACAGGGAAAGCAATCCTGTGGGGAATTCCTGTATGGAAGCTGTCACATTCTGGTAACATATTATCTTGGAAAGTTGGTAACCAGGGGCTCCAAGAGTTTAATCAACTTGCCTATGGTCACACAATCAATGTGTGTTAGGGATGGTACTTGAACTAACTTTCAAGGTTAACACCCCTGTGATACTGCCTCTCAAATTGATTGTATCTAAATACTTTATTGGGTCAGTGAATCCAATCATAAGTGCTTTGCCAAATGGGTTTTTAGAGCTAAAAAGGACTAAAGGGAAAAATTGACTTTTTTCTTTGTTTTTTTTTTTTTGTTGTTGTTGTCATTTTTCTAGTTGATATTCAGCAATGAATATACCCAGGCAGAGAATCAGAGTTGGCATCTGAAACATTTCTGCTGCTTTGATTGTGACTGCGTTCTTGCTGGGGAAATCTATGTTATGGTCAATAACAAACCCATATGCAAGCCTTGCTACGTGAGGAACCATGCTGTGGTAAGAACTCATTTGGAGACACAATTACCTCTAACATCCTGTAGCACAATAAAGTATCTACATACGTCTAGAACTTAGGAACGGAAAGCAAAAGGCTCTGCTGAGCAGGAAGCATGTGGCTTCTCTAGGAGATCTTAATGTGAAGTGTTGTACCCAAGGAATTTAAACAGAAAGAGTTTGTTGAACAGGCACCACTGGTGAGTTCCTTCACTGTTCTTACTATGGTAGAGTCTTAATAAGGCTTAATTTAAAGGCTAATTCATTCATATATATATAAGTCAGAACCTACTCTGGTAAATTCTAAAGAGTCTGATTGCTTTTTTTGTTGTTATAAATGAAATTTTGTATATGGACTCTTTATCTATTATATATCACCTGGAATGTTCATTTCTTTTTTAAATTAATTGTATTTTTTTCAATTAATAAACATTTCTTTTCAACCTTCCTCCAAAGAAAAAAACAACACTCTTGTAATAAATATGAATAATCATATAAAAATAAATACATAGATGTCTCAATCTCAAAACCTTGATCCCATCACCTCTTTGTTAGGACCACTACCTGGAATTTGAAAAATAATTTAGCAGTATATGGATTGTTTTTGGTAAGGGTATGGGTTGCAAAAGAATTTGAAGTGTATACTTCAAGTCTACATTGAGATGACTTAAATATTTAAGTATCTTAATTCTGTTATCATCTCCAAACCACTCATTTATGACTTCATGATTCATTACAAGGGCAATTTTTGGATAGATTTCTAATAATTAATGATACTAACTTTAGCTTGTTTCAGATTTTGTCACTTCCTTTAGCACACATGAACAAGGAGATAAAGCTCAGTTAGTGGCAGAAAACTCAGTCAATTGCATATAGTTCAAGAGGTTTAATGCAGAACAAATTCAGAACCTTGAAGCAAAGAGAAGAAAACAGTCAATTTCTCTTTCCTCCAGAATGCAAAATGATTCTTTCTTGGGGTTCCATCAGTTTTCTATCTCCTGTTATGTACACATGTATGGGGCAGCTGGGTGGTACAGTGGATGGAGTGATTAGCTGTGTAACCCTGGGCTAGTCACTTAATCCTGTTTGCCTCAGTTTCCTTATTAACACGAGCTGGAGAAGGAAATGGCAAACTGCTCCAGTATCTTTGTCAAGGAAACCTCAAATGGGGTCACAAAGAGTTGTATACAACTGGAAAATGACTGAACAACAAATGTATAAATGTAAAATAATAAGAGCAGGGGCAATAAGAAGGGAAAAGATCCTAAGGTAGCAAAGAGTCCAGAAAATTGAAGCCCAAGCAAAGAAATAATCAGCTCCATATTCCTGATGGATTCTACAGTTTTCCTAGGGTGCTACTAATGGTTCTTTGTGATGTTAAGACTTTTTCAAAAGCCAGTCCTCATAATTGCCCTCTCAGCTTTTGTTTGCTTTTTAAGCAACACAAAAAGGATTCACATTCCATTCATCAAATGAAAGCATTCAGGCCCTTGAATGCATGAGAGTTCTCAGTTTTGACAACTTACTGCTTTCTGTTGTAGAACAAAGGGAAAACCAGGTGTTTTATTATTATTAGTAGTAGTAGTATTTCGTTGCTGAAGAAAGCATAAGAAAAAGGCAGTATAAACTTAATTTCTTAATTTAGGCATGATTTTCAAACTTTCTTTAAGAAGAAGGATACTCAAAAGAATAAAAGAAAACCCACTGATTAAATTATTACCAAAAACTTTTTACTAATCATGCCTTTGAAATCTTTTATTCAATCCAGCACACATTTATCAAGTATCTACTATGTGCAAGGCAGATCTAGGGAGCCCTTGAAGATGGAAGGAATTAGGGAGGCTTTCACAGATTATAGTTCCTTCAGTCACAGTTGACTAAAAAGTAGAGTACAAAATCTTCCTGTGCTTATTTTTTTTATATTACAAAACAGTATATGCCTCATTAAAGGCTCTTTTCCAATAAGATGCCTCTCATGAACATATTAAGATTATATGGGCTTCCTTTTCTAACTGGCTCTCTGTTAATATCAAGTAAAAGATAAAAACAGGAATAGAAGAAGGGATTTCTTCGAGATGGCAAAATATGAATTTGGAACTGAAAATTTTAAAAAACGAATGTTGAAAATTGTTTTTACATGTAACTGGGGAAAAACAAAATATTAAATTAAAAAAAAAAAGAGATGACAAAATATTCCAGATATTCCTGTTTGCAAGTGACATTGTGGTGGTTGCATTAAGCTCCCAAATAACATGGGCCCTCTTCAGTGAGTTTTATTACCCTACGAGAGGTCAGCCTTACAGTCTACACAGGAAAAAAAGAAGTGGATAAAGAACACTTTTCACCCGGATTATGACATACGGTTGGGTGGGCAGCCTATCTCTTATTAGTTTGTAAGGAAATTTATCTTGGACAGGCCTTGCAGATTGACTGTGAACTAACTCAGTATGAAATTAATGAGGGGCCTGGCCTAGATAGTTAAATAGTTTTTCTTGCCCAGTCTGCAAGCACAGTGACCATTCCACAGCTGGATCCCAGCACTGATTGGCACAGAAGTTTTTAACCTGTTTTACTTTTCAGATCTGGACTGGTTTGCCCCATCTTAGAAGTAGGTCTAGTGGCCCTCCGTTCCCAGAGGCTCACCATATTTTTGCCAGAATTAATGGAGACATAAAAAGAGCTTTAGCCGTATTGTAGTTCAGAGCTCTTGAATTCAAGTAACTCGCTGCCCTCAGCCTCCCTCAGGAACAGGGATTATAGGTATGTGCCACCATGCCTGGCTACACAGCATTTTCAGCAGTCCCTAGCTTCTCTTTGACATAAAAGCTTTTATCTTTTTAACACTGGCATTTTCCTAGTGATGAGGATACTAAAAGCTTGGCAAAAACCTCAGAACTTACTAATATTAAAAAAAAAAAAGTAGCAGAGTATTGGTAACCACCAAGACTGTTTTCTTATCTCTACAAAATTTCCCTGAGAATCCTCTACACATACATCTGGGGCATCCTAGATGAAAAATATGATAGGGAGCCAGTAGCCTTTTGCTACATTATACATCAGACCACATCAATCATCAATCATCATGATTCAGTAGAGCAACAGGCTTCCAATGAAGCATCTTCCATGCATACAAGAAAATCACACAAGACTCCTTGGTAGATGTAATATTAGAAAGTACTTTGACAACCTTATTATTCATATCAAATGAGACACAAAACAGGGAGACTTGCTTACCAAAGGTGTTTGCTTTTGTCATGGAGAAGGTCCACGACTGAGTCCAAAGAAAGGAAGGATTCCATAGAGATGGCAAAGTCCTTCAGATGTTTCTGATTGTGAATGATATTATGCTGATTGCATCAAGCCCCAGGACACTGAGGTGCCTTCCAAATGAGATCCTTAATTGCTCAAAGAAGTTTGGCCTAACTATCCATCCAGGGAAAACCACACCACTGAAGAATGCCTATTATCTAGATGATGCTAAGCATAAATAAACCATTAAAATACATTAAAAAACCAATAAAATAAAATATAAGGACATATATCTTGTACAGATGTTGCACATGGACAGTGAAAAGATGCCTGAATTGGAGGAGGAAATGCTTGGGCTGAATTGCATTTGGGATATTGTCCAGTGCTTTGACGACAAGCCAAAACAAAGACTCGTCTTTTAACATTAGAGTTCGTCCATGATGCCGTGTGGCTGCAAATTAGGGATACCCAGCATCTGAAGAATTAAAGTTGAAGGTCACCCAAAGGACAGCTTACAGGCACTTGGCAAACATGTGCAGGATGCAACAGATTATAAAAATTGTATAAGATAAGCAGCTTGGAGGCTATAATCAGAAAGATGCAAGACCAGGAAAAAATAGGCAATAGCAAGGAATAACTGAAGGACAGTTCACTTGCTTCATTAGTATCTAAGCTGTATTAAAATATGTAGACATGACACACACTCATACCCCAAGCCCATCAGGTGGACTCCCTGTGGAAGATTCTCAGAGGTTGGAAAGACATAGAGAACTACCTAGAACTCCAAAGAAAACACCACTTTAGCAATCTCTCCTCCTTTGAGGTTTGCTCCATCCAGATGCATCATCGTATCCATATTTCAGTGACAGTTATTTTTAAGTCCCCAGCTTATGCTCTCTCCTTTCTCAAGTTGTTCAATGTCTTGTTGATTCTATTCCTTTCCATCCTAACCTGTTCCCTTGTACTTGAGGTCATATACATCCTCTCCCTCTCCATCACACCCCTATACCACATCTTTCTTCCATCGTACCATTGCACCCAGTATCTGAGGGGAGGAGTTGACATGCATTTACGTATACCTGGTAGGAAAGCACAGGAAGAAGGAAAAACCCATATGTTCTGGATAATTTACTAGTCTGGATTGGAATCTTTGATGTCATTGGTCCATTCAGGAACATATCCATCACGTGACCCCAATTCTCTGTTACCTTCTTGTTTCTTGGTTCTCACTGCTCCCCAGTTGGGCAGATCCTCTTCTTTTCTGGAAACATAGCATTTACAAGGTCTTTCAATGTAAAAATCACCCTTAAAATGGTAGACAGTGTTACCTCCTACTGTAAATAGTAGTTCCCTTTAAATCTAAGAATCAGAATTGGGAAAAAAAAAACTCTTCAGTATGGCAATCTCTGGTCTATATGGACCATCCCAGGCAGTCAGTCATTCACTCGTCAGGATACAGTGTTGTCCAGTCTGAACATAGCTCACAACAAAGAGCTTTGGTTGACACTCTGAGCAAGGGAAATCAGCCTAGCCAGTTTTCCTTTTATACTGCAGAATCTATAGCAGAGCAGCTACAATACTAGTCTTTCTTCTCATTCCCTCACTAGAGGGAGCAGAAAAGGACCACAAGCTCTTTTAGGAGGTTTCACCTCTCAAGCACTAGGTGATGCTAAAAGGCACTAGCTACACCTTCAGCCAATCAGGAACTGGCCCCCTTTTTTTTGTCAGCAGCAGCTCCCGCTGCTGGTCTCTTAAAGCAGTTCCCACAAGTTGTTTTTGCCCCCTGCTGTTTCCTTCCTTCTCAGTTAGGTTCTGCAAATTCCTCAACACACCAACCATAGCCTCTGTCTTCTCTACCTCTCAGTCTCTTAAATCAGACCTTCTTGCCTCTGAATGATGCACCCCTTTCACTTAAAAGCTGCTCACCAAATTTTCCCTGTGAAATCAGTAGTTTTTAAAATAATACTCATTTCCAAATACATGTGTAGTTTATTCTATATCACTACATAACTTCTGCAAAGCCAGTTCTCAAATATTGTCGGTCCTTTTAAGTGAAATCTTCAATCACCTTTAATATCCATTCAATATTGTCTATAAGAACTACAGGTTTTAATAAGTATTCTTTATATAATAAGTGAGATCTGCCTAATTACAGCTCTAATGAAGCATGAAAATCCTTTTTTAGATGGGTACTACAGTTTATAGTGAACTATTGTGCATCTTAATTGCTTGTAATAGAATCAAAACCAATATAATTCAGGCAGGGTACCTAGGAAATATTTTCCTAGAAGTAGGAGAAAGACTAAATAATTCTTTTTCTTATATTTGTCACAATGATCAAAACTCATGGGTTTTTTCATATTTCTTTTAATTTTATTTTCATTTCCAAATTCTTTCCTCTACCCTGCTCCCCTCCCTCACTCATTGAGAAGGCAAAAATATGACAAATTAATTATACATATAAAGTCATATAAAACATTTCCACATGAGCCTTGTTGTGGGGCAAAAAAAGCAAGAAAAAATAAAGTGACAAAAATATATCCTTCAGTCTGCACTCAGAGTTCATCACTTCTCTTTTTGGAGTGGATAGCATTTTTCATCATGAGTCTATTGGAATTTTCATGGATCATTGTATTGATCAGAGTTAAGTCTTTCACATCATTGCAGTATTACTGTTACTATTTACAATGTTCTGGTACTGCTCACTTCACTTTGTATCAGCTTTTATTAATAGTCTTCCCATATTTTTCTGAAACCATCCCCTTCATCATTTCTTACAGCACAATAGTATTCCATCACTATCATACCACAGTTTGTTCAGCCATTCCCTAGTTGATAGGCATCCTCTCAGTTTTCAATTCTTTACCATTATTGAAAGAAAAGTTCATGGAATTTCAAGGACAGTGTTTCTGCTCAAGCTTTTACAGTTAGGTCCCCTATAGTTGGTTATCTCCTGCGTGTAAAGAAGACAGATATTTAATGTATATCTCTTCTAAAATTTGAATCAAAAACATTTGATTAAGATATTATAGTATTATTTGGTTTGAATCTTTTTTTTCCCTCTTTGTTCAACAGATTTGTCAAGGATGTCATAATGCGATTGATCCAGAAGTACAGCGAGTGACTTACAACAATTTTAACTGGCATGCTACCGAAGAGTGCTTTCTCTGTTCCTGTTGCAGCAAGTGTCTGATTGGTCAGAAGTTTATTCCAGTAGAAGCAATGCTTTTCTGTTCAGTAGAATGTAAAAAGATGATGATGTCTTAATGAGAAAGCACTAGATAATTCTGAGCCATTGCTATCTTCCAAAGTGGTCTGCATTTCTACTGTAAAATGGAATTTGGGTGTTTGGAAAAAATAAAAAAGAGGGGGGGAAAAACCTAGAATAAGTTGAGAAATTTTTATTTCTGTTTCTCTTTCTGTCCTTGCTTTCATCTTTTAGAAATTGTATTAACCACCTATTCTTTTTTAAAATAGAGGGAATTGCATATTTGACTTGGGAAAGCTAAGCCTTTTGTTATCTGTTTCTTTTACCCCCCCTTGCTTTTAAGATGGAAAGGAAACAACTTTAAAATTAAATAAAGAACATGTGTGTATTCTCTCTCAGCCCCTTTTTATTCAGCTTTTGGTGGTGTGCAATGATGAGCTTTTCTGACAGTGGGGAAGGGGTGGAAGGATACAAAGTGCTTATTAAACAAGTATCTCGGCAAAATTCACAGCTGTCATTTATTTCTAGCCTCTGTGTATTCACTGCCCAGTGATGTAAAGAGATGTTTTCTTTTCTGTCCTGATCATTAATTGTTTTCTGCTTGATTCCCTAGTCTAGTAAAAGTTCTTCTAGTCAATGACTTGTCCTTGATCTGTAGATATCTTCTGTTTGGGGTTTTTTTGTATGTAGTACAGAATTGCCCACTTTACAATTTTTTTTTTATAGATGGGCCTTGGGATTTTTTTTTTAAGGTGATGTGGTTTGAATTTCAGATATTCAGCTATAGCATATGTTGTTAATTCTAAGAACATCTGCGTCTATATCTCAAGGTATATACCGTGGAGCCAAGAGAACTCGTGAAATATGTTAATAGCAGTTGGCAGATTTGGGATTTGCTAAACCCTCAATATGTTTCTCATTTTTTTCTAAATGACAACTGTTCTGTGACAGTTTATAATAATGCTTATTGGTATGTTTTTTTCTTCAGAAGACTTCCATTTTATACATACATACACACACACACACACACATATAAAATAATCAATTACCTAGGATATTATTTACAAAAACATCCAAATTATACATACCTTAGAGGTGTGTTTTTGCATGTATATTCAAAATAAAAAAAATCTTTGATCACTTTAATGGTTGTATATATTTTTATTCTCATCTTTTTAGTAGGAACTAAATCCTACTGCAACTATGCTTGTTTTACAGCAGGGGGCAGTATCTTCAAGGATTAAAGACATCTTGGTTTTTAAAAAGTGTGAGTAAGCTGTCGCTGTTGCTTAAAACAAGGTAGTACTTGGGCTTTTCAGAGTGAGAAAGCATCAAGTTTAATAACAAAAGAGCAAAAGACTTAGAGTCACCAATGTTTGGCTGGTTGGGGGTTGTAATTATCCTAATTGAAGATATAGTTAACACCTAAATTTTCTATTCAGGGAGCTAGGGCACAGGATTTTAGAATTGGAAGTGAATTTAATAAGGTTAACTGGTTCTCAGGACTACTCCTTTACATGCTAAAAAATTACTGAGGCCCCCTAAAAAGTTGTGTAAGTCATAATCAGTACACCACATTAAGAATTTACAAAAATTAAAAATAACAAAGAATTCTGACCTTGTGGATTCTCTGAAAGGTCCCTAGACCATACTTTGAGAACCATTGATCAAATTTAACCTCCTCATCTGGAAACTGAGGCCCAGAAAAGTTAAATGCTTTACCTGAGGGGACATAGGTAGTAAGTGGCAAAACCCTAGGTCTCATTCCAAAGCCAGGAAGATTTGTGGGTTCCTCCAAACTATACTATGCCAGCTCCCCACTAATTACTACTTTTGTGCTATAGTGACAACTTTGCTTCTATATAGGACTTTTACTTTTATAGGGCTTTTCACTATTTTTCCTGTCAGGTTCCAAGACAAAGGAAGAAATAGAAAATCTGAAGGTCTATCTTGCGTTCTTGATCTTTTTGCATGCACAGAATTCTAGAATGTTAGAACCATAAAAGACCTAAGAGATCATTTGGTCCAATCCCACCCCTGTCTCACTTTGTAGATTAGAAAATGTGTCCATAATGCTTACTTGATTTTCTCACATCAAAATTAGCCACACCTACTATAAAATAGGTTTCTACCTAGTACAGTTTTGGGGAACTATATCTAATGGCCCATATACCTCTAGGAAAAGGACAGAAGACTGACCTTATCACTAGTCTCAGAGTCTTTTTCTTTGTTAACTAAAACATTTATTTCTCTCTGAACATAATGAGAGCACTTTGCTTCTATATCACGATATCACAAAATTAGTTTCCTGGAAGGGACTCTAGAGGCCATTTTGTTCAACTAGAATCTAACTAAGAATTGCTTTTACAACAAAAGTCCTTAACCTACAGTCTATGAGTTTTTAAAACATTTAAGTAAAGATTTTAATGTAATGGCTTTCCATTATAATTCTACATATTTTATTTTATGCATTCCAGACATTCCAAGGAGAGGTCCATTAACCTCACCAGACTGCCAGAAAGATCCACGATAGAAAAAAAGTTGAGAATTTCCATTGTACATCTCCAACAAGTGAAGAAGTAATAGCTACTAAATGTATGGAGATATTTAGCTGTAGTTGACAGTGTCAGAATAAGTCGTTAAGTAAACTGATTTTATCATTTGATAACTTTTCCTGTCCATCTACCACATCAGTAACTTGTCTATGACTTACAGTCTTAAAGTTTCCTGGGCATGTGAGATGGTGACTTGTCCAAGGACATGCAGTTTATCTTTGTCAGAGAAAGGACTTTAACCCAGGTTTTCCTCATTCTGAGACTGGCTCTCTTTTCCACTGTGTGGATCTGTGTATTGTTTGCTGATAGTACTGAGGATTCAGCCCATACAGAGGGTGGCAGGGCCCAGGTGGCCTACTGACCCACGCTAGAAGTTATGGCAATAAAAGTCTGAGTAAATCTATATATTTAGCATGATACTCGAGTTAACTGAGGGGCAGCTGGGTGGCACAGTGGCTTGACTGCTGGGCCTGAGGTCAGGAAGACTCACCTTCTGTAGTTTAAATCCGGCCTCAGACGCTTAATAGCTTGTGACCCTGGGCAAATCACTTAACCTGTCTGCCTCAGTTCCTCATCTGGAGAAGGAAATATGGCAAACCACTCCAGTATCTTTGCCAAGAAAATCCTAAATAGGGTTGTAAAGAGTCAGACAAAACTGAAATGACTGAATAACAAGTTAACTGAAAGGTCATTAGGTACATGACTAATATTTGTTTTTCCCTAAATGTGATTGCAAAAAAATTTTAAAAATTAATTTGGGAAGATTGCAAAAAGTTTTTTTAATATTGTTCTTATTTTAGTTTGAAGTAAGCTGTTCAGTGCAGTTCATTTTGGTTTCAGATTCACAGGTGTAGGTTTTAACTGTACTATGAAAGGAAACTATTGTTTGCTAATTGTTGTTGTTGAATAATTTTTCAGTCATATCTGACTCTTTGTGACCCCATTTGGGGTTTTCTTGGCAAAGATACTGGAATAGTTTGCCTTTTCTTTCTCCAGTTCATTTTATAGATGAGGAACTGAGGCAAACAGGGTTAAGTGACTTGCCTAGGATCACACAGCCAGTAAGTGTTTGAAGCCAGATTTGAAGTCAGGAAGATGAGTCTTCTTGACTTCAGCCTGGCACTTTATCTACTGTGCCACCTAGCTGCTTTGTTTTTTTCCCTCCATATTAAAATATAATATTAATTTACCTATATATAATACTTTAAGGTTATAAGAATTAAGTGAGATAAATTATATAGCCATTATTAGCTCCATTTTACAGATGAGGAAATGGAGGCTTAACAGACTAAGTGACTTGCCAGGATTTCACAGCTATTATCTGAGGCAGAATTTGAATCCAGGTCTTCTGATTCAAAGTCCAGCAATTTATCCACTGTGCCACCAAACTGAGCTAAACAAAATTTAGTGATTCCACGTGATCTCTGGTCGGATAAGACTTTCAACTTGTAATAGAACTAGTACATTCCAAAAATTCTCTAAACCTGAATCTAAATCTAATGTTCATTCAGTCCAAGCCCTTGAGAAACGCAAGAAGAATAATGGCATCATTGGAAAAATGTCTTTGTGTCATTTTTGTCATTTGTTTAAAATGCTAGTGCTGATAATAGCATATAAAGTGGCATAGTTCAAAAATTCAGCTGGGATTAAGGCACAAGACAGGACTGGCTGACTAGCCACCAGAGATATTAGCAGGTAAGAGGGTTTTGTTTTGCAAATGAAATAATATGCTCTCCTAATCACAGCTACCTGGAGGCAGCAAGTTTTTTATAACCTGTGACCAGAATACTTTAGATTTTCTGATTCAGAATCATGTTCATTTGACCGACACTACTTTTTCGTCTTTATTTTTCCTCTTACTCTAGGTTTCAAACACCAGATTCTAGATTTATCAAGGACAGCTATATCGGGCAGTCCCAATCAGCCATACCTTTATCAAAATGAAGAGTCTCTAAGAACAACAGGAAAGAGAGATGTTTCCAGGTGTAGGACCAAAAGAGAATACCAGCACATCACCTTTAACTGCTCTAGTGGCCTTCCAGTTACTCTTAGTGTTTACATTCCATACATTCTTCTAGTCATCCTCTACGTCCCCGCCAAAATAATCTTTCTGAGTCATAGGCCTGACAATGTCACTGCCCTGTGAAATTACCATTCTCCTTTTTGATAGCTCTAATTATTAAGAAGTGGATACTTCAATTAAAATGAAATTCACCTCTCTGCCACTTTTACCTACTGTTCCTCCTCCCCTCTAAGGCTTAGCAGAAAAAGTTTGATCCCTCTTCAGTAAAGCAGCCCTTTAAATGTTTGAAAATGGCTTCATGTTCTTTCTCCAACTATTCTCCTCTCCAGGCAAAACAGAACAAAACAAAAACCCTAGAAAATTCAGCTATTCTTCATGGGGCATGGCTTCCAATATCATCCTCATGGCTTGTCTCATTTAAGTGCTCTCCCGTTTATTAGTGTCCTTCCCATAATCAGACACAATAATCCAGATATCTGACAAGGGCAGATCCCTCATCTCCCCAGTTCTAGATACATACCTCTCAATCCAGAGATTTCATTACCTTTTTTGCCAGCATAGCACTCTTGTGACTCATACTGGATTTGCTACCCACTGAAGCCTCCATAGCCTTTTTGTAAAGACTTGTGTCCAGGGGCAGCTAGGATAGAGCACCAGCCCTGTAGTCAGGAGGACCTGAGTTCAGATCCGGCCTAAGACCAAACACTTGACACTTACTAGCTGTGTGACCTTGGGCAAGTCACTTAACCCCAATTGCGTTAAAAAAAAAAAAACCAAAAAAAAACTTGTGTCCAGTCATGCCCTGCCCTCAAC